GACCTACACCTTCTCCTCTATTCAGAAAATCATAGCTTGAGACTGCGAGGCGGGATCTGGTTAAAACTTTCAGCATTTGTAGCCCAGACCTTCGTGACAACAAGGGGAAAATTTGAAGCAAATCAGAGCTCAGGAAAAGTAGCGAGACAATTTTATTTCAGAGTGAAACCTGAAACTTTTTTGCAATTTCCCCGCCGATAAACCCACTAAACCCCCGATTTTTTCAGGGGTGTGCATGGTAGAGTGTCTCTTTACAAAGCTGCACATCATCGAAAACGGGCAGTTCAATCAGCGCGGCTTCGTCATCACTTTTTCGCCGATAGCCCGCGGAAATCTGAAGAAACTGGCCGCCCTTAAGGAAGTGGCCGCTCTTTGCCAGGCGGAGGTCAGTGCGGTGCAGACAGGCGAGCAGTGCAGCGCCACCAGGACCGTCCTGGACTGCTTCGGCAAAAACATGGATAAACTAGCAATTGCCAAAAAGCCCTGAGTGAAATAAAGCCACTGTATCCCTGCATGACACTTATGGTTTATTGCGCTGTTTACTTGCATTTCGCTACCATAAAAGTTAATCCGCAATTGGGGGGAGAAGGCAGTTATTAAGTTTTAATGAAGAAACGGCCAATTAATCGGCGATAAATCAATTTAAAAGCGATTAGAACCGAACGGGAATAAGTGCCGGATGCGACCGTCCTGCTAATTGTTCAGTAGCAGGATCAAACTGGCAATTTTGGGGTCAAATGGGGGTGAAACCGGTCATTTAATCGAACCGGCAATTAGAGCAAACACTGCCATTGCGTTTCAGATTTGCCGAATTCTGCCGAAAAATTGACAAAATCCAGGGCATGCGGATTTTTTCATTCCGTGCCCGCATCCATTATTAATCGGGCCATTTTGATTCGGCAAACAGCTCGGGTGGCACAAAGCAATCGTCCCAAAAACGAGAATCCAAACTGTAATAATATGCAAATAGCGGGATGGGAAAGGAATCGGCCAAATCCCGCGGGATGCGCCCCTGCGATAGAAAACCCGGCACAATTTATGCAATCACACGTCAATGGAGTTTGCGGCTTTCATCCAGACGTTGTTTAGTGGCAGGAAACAAGCGAGCAAAAATGGCACATTTTGTCGATGTTTGATTTTCCTTCCAAAAACGTCCGCGCACTGAAACCACAGCCTTAATTGGCATTAGTTTTATTAGGGCCTCGCTCTCATGCCATCAATTTAATCATCAGTTATTGTTTTTTCAGCTGCCCTTGCTTAACGCCAGTTAAACTCCCGCATCATTCTTTTTTAAAGCGCAGATTATGGTGGTAGATACGCCTAAATGGCCGTCATCTAAGGTGCCATCAAGTTGATTGAACAGTCAGCCGGCTGTTGAGCAGCAAAAACAACCTGGATGATAAAGATGCTGATGGGAATCAGTCCCCAAGGACCGATTCGGATCACATACGTGCGTCTGATCTAATAAAAAAGTTGTTACTGATAGTGCATCCCATTCCATTCGATTCGGACGAAGACTGAAAGGATTTTAATCAAATGAGTCGAGTTGGCTGCATTATCGGCTCGCTGATTTTCCCAAAGTGGACGCTATCCAGATTGCACTCAACGTAAAAGCTCCAAGTTGCAACACCTGCGGCCTGCAGCCGCTTTCCTTATCCAGACTGCCGGAATCTGGCTCGATTGACTCCAATAGGGAAAGATCAAGCGCCATTCCAGCTTTGTACCGGCAAAGCGCCTGGATGCACTTTGGCCTGATTATTTTTCAAACACTTTTGAGTGCACTTCTGCCGGTTCAACAATGCCAATTTTTTCCCACCCCAAAAAAATCGCGTAAACCCCAAATGATCATGCATAGGTATGATCTACTCAGTGAACGTAGTATGTGAACTCAGCAATTCTTAAATAAATCCTAAAAATCACTTTGGCGCGATTAAAGTCGCGCCTATCTGGAAGATTGAGTCTAAAGACCAAAACGTTCAGTTCAGAACCCTTAAAAACTCATCTAGTTGGCGGATTGCGGCAAAAATTTTGAAGTTTTGAAGTGTCTACCGCTCAAAGTAACAGCAATTCTGTCAATTTGGTTCCTGTCAGGCGTTGACACATAAGGGATGTGTCAACGTCTGACTGCAGTTTGAAAAATCACGTCACAACTTGCTCAAATCTGATTCAAAAAAATGCGTACCGACTGCAAAGGAAAATGTCTAATTGGCGAGTGGTTGTCAAGGAAAGTATCGAAAAAAGCGATTCTTGTCAGACTGGCATGTTTGACAGCAATGACACTTTTCCCAATGAAATGCCTTGATAGGGAAATAAAAAATGCAAAATATCACTCCTCCCGTGTGGACTATTTTGGAGAAACGTCCTTAGCAACAGCAACAAAATCGGTTTTTACATTGAAAAGTCGTCAAAACGTATTTTTCACCCAACTTCAAAAAGAACCATTTGGTATTTCATGGAAAATTAAGAGAGTTTTCAAATGTATTTCATGCATAAATGGGCTCAAAATGCTGAAATACATTTAAATATTCCCTCTCGCGCCATTAAAATTGCGCCTCTGGAAGATTGATTCCTTAATTTTGCTTAAAGAGCAAAACTTCCAGTTCAGAACACTTGAAATATGAGCTAGTTGGCTGATTGCGGCAAAACGTTAAAAATTTTGAAGTTTTGAAGTGTCTAGCGCTCAAACCAACAGAAATTCTGTCAATTTGACTGCTGTCAGACAGTGACACATCACCGCCCACTGCAGTTGCAAAAACACGTCACAACTTGCTAAAATCTGATTCTGAAAAATGCGCACCGACTGCAAAGGAAAATGACAAATTGGCGATTGCTGGTCAAGAAAAGTATCGAAAAAAGCGATTCTGGTCAAGAGGCAAGTGAGTGAATGACATATTTGACAGCAATTACACTTTTCCCAAAAAAATGGCTTGATAGGGAGATAAAAAATGCAAAATATCACTCCTCCACTGTGACCTGTTTTGGAGAAAAGTCTTTAGCAACAGCAACAAAATCAGTTTTTACATTAAAAAGTCATCAAAATTTTCCATTCAACCTCAAAAGTACCATTCAGTATTTCATAGAAAATTAAAGCAGTTTTCAAATGTTTTTTTGCATAAATTAATTGGGTCTAAAGACCAGAACTTTCAGTTCAGAACCCTTAAAAGCTCATCTAGTTGGCTGATTGCGGAAACACGTCAAAAATTTGGAAGTTTTGAAGTGTTTAGCGTTCAAACCAACATCAATTCTGTCACTTTGACTGCTGTCAGACAGTGACACATGCAGTTCGAAAACACGTCACACTTGCCCAAATCTGACTGAGTCTGAAAAACGCGTACCGACCAAAGTATTTTAGTAAATAGTAAATGTCAAATTGACGATTAGTTGTCAAGGAAACTATCGAAACATGCGATTCTTGTCAAAAGGCAAGTGAGTGAATTGACAGTTATTTGACAGCAATGACACTTTTCCCAATTAAATGCCTTGATCGGGAGATGAAAAAATGTAAAATATTACTCCTCTACTGTGACCTGTTTTGGAGAAAAGTCTTTAGCAACAGCAACAAAATCAGTTTTCACATTAGAAAGTCGTCAAAACGTCAATTTTCCATCCAACCTCAAAAGGACCATTCAGTATTTCATAAAAAATTTAGAGGGTTTTCAAATGTTTTTTTTTGCGTAAATGGGCTCAAAAATATTTGAAAATGCCAATGTGCTCGCAATGCAAAATATCACTCCTCCACTGTGGACTGTTTTGGAGAAAAGTCCTTAGCAACAACAATAAAATCGTTTTTTACATTAAAAAGTCGTCAAAACGTATTTTTCTTCCAACTTCAAAAGGGCCATTCAGTATTTCATAGAAAATTAAGAGTTTTTAAATGTTTTTTTTTTGCATAAATGGGCTCAAAAATGCTTACTTATATTTACAAAATATCTTTCGTGCGATTAAAATCGAGCCTATCTGGAAGATTGATTCCTCAATTGGGTGTAAAGACCAGAACTTTCAGTTCAAAACCCTTAAAAGCTCATCTAGTTGGTTGATTGCGGAAAAACGTCAAAAATTTGGAAGTTTTGAAGTGTTTAGCGCTCAAACCAACAGCAATTATGTCAATTTGACTGCTTTAAGACAGTGACAGATCCCCTCCCAGTGCAGTAGCAAAAACACGTCACAACTTGCTCTCTCAATCTCTTTTGCGCCATTAAAATCGCTCTTATCTGGAAGATTGATTCCTTAATTGTGCCTAAAGAGCAAAACTTCCAGTTCAGAAGCCTTGAAATATGAGCTAGTTGGCTGATTGCCGCAAAACGTCAAAGATTTGGAAACTTTGAAGTGGGTAGCGTTCAAACCTACAAAACTTCTGTCAATTTGACTGCTGTCAGACGTTAACACGTCTGATAGTCGATTGCTTGGCCGCTAAGCAAAATACTGAATAAAGCGATTTTGATCAAGAGGCAAGTGAGCGAATGACATATTTGACAACAATGACACTTGCTCAAATTAAATTCTAATGTACTTTATGACAAACGTTCAATGTGACAATTGGCAGGTTTTACCTGTTGCCGTTTTGAAAAAATGTCTGTAAAACCTGCAAATATCAAGCAATTTTTCTGAAAATTGCTCCAATTGAATGATAATTCAATGTAGCGTCGATTGGCAGCCCAACGCAGCCAGCGCTCAGAAGCCAGATGGTTTTTGACGAAAACGATCAAAATTTCTCCAATCACAACCCGGTTTTATCGATTAGAAACAAAATGGGAGCCGAATAATCGTCACTACTTATCTCACCAGCAGCCTAATCCCGTTCGCGTTTACTTTCCACCGAAATAACAGGCTGTTAAAGGATTTACGGACGCATTAAATTCAATAAATCAACGCGCGACAATTTGCCAAATGTTTCACCAATAAAAATTTTATCGCCTGTTTCCTATCAATATCGCTAATCCCATGAATCGGTTCAATTTCGATCCAAATCAGTCTGTTCAGACTGTCCAGTTTCGGACTGATCCCAAACATCCTCCATGGACTTAATGAGCTGAAGAGCGCCCGAGTTGTGCCATTAATTCGGCCCCGGCCATCCCGATTATTATCCCGGTTTTTGTGCCGTTGCCCGCAAATGGCCAGCTTGATAATTAGAATGTCCCCCAGATGAGACAGAGAGATTTTTCTTTGTTGTTGCGAATAAGGGAATTCCGCTGACCGGAACTAATACGCCGAATTAGCGAGATTAAGTCCGGTTTCGCTGGCCGCTTTCCACCTCTGTTATGTGTGTTGCTTCGCAGCGAAGAAAAATAGCGCTTTTTCCACCGGCCTGGCTTCCATCCGTCTTCGTTAGCTGGTAAAAACGGATATAAATCCCCAATCCAGAGGAATTTCCGCAGAAGCTCACAAGAGATCCACACCAGTGACCTGAAAACCGCCCCCTAAATGCAAATTGAGATCGCCATCCGTCCATAATCAGTGGGGAAACAAAAGCGGAAATGCACTTAGCAAATGAATTGCATAAAAAAGGGGGCCCCA